TATATATATATATAATTTTTCATTCATATATATTTACATAACATCTTTATCCATTCATTAATAAATGGACCCTTAGACTGCTTCCATAATTGGACTATTTGTAAATAATGCTGCAAAAAACACAGGAGTGCACATTATCTCTTTGAAATAGGGTGTTAGTATTCTTTGGGTAAATACACAATAGTGCCAATATTAAATAAGTTCTATTTTTAGCTTTTTGAGTAACCTCCATATTTTTTTCCACAGTGTCTATACCAGTTTGCATTCTTCCCAGTGCAAGAATGTTCCTTTTTCTCCATGACCTTGCCAACACCTGTTTTGTGTGTGTGTGTGTGTTTTGTTTTTGTTTCTTGTGTTTTTGATTTTCACCATTCTGACAGGTGATATCTCAGTTTGGTTTTAGTTTGTTTACTTTTTAAAAATATTTATTTATTTTGAGAGATAGTGTGTGAGTGGGGTAAGGGCAGGGAGGAGAGAAAGAACCCCAAGCAGGCTCCGCTTTGTAAGCACAAGGCCTGATGCAGGGATTGATCCCATGAACTTCAAAATCAAGGTTGAAGCTTATCTGACAGAGCCACCCAGAGTCCCTTCAATGTGGTTTTAATTTGCATTTCTCTTATAGTACGTGATTAAGAGCATCTTTTCATGTGTTTGTTGGCCATCTGGATACTTTCTTTGGAGAAAGTTGTTGATGTCTTCTGCCCATTTTCTAATTGGATTTTTTTTGGGGGGGAGAGTGTTGAGTTCTATAAGTTATTTATAGATTTTGGATAGTAACCTTTTATCAGATATGCCATTTGTAAATTTCTCCTCCCATTCACTATGTTGCCTTTTAGTTTTGTTGATTGTTTCCTTCACTTGTGTACAAGCTTTTTATTCTGAAGGAATCCCGGTAATTTATTTTTTATTTTGTTTCCTTTGCCTCAGGTGACATACCTAGAAAAAAGCTACTATGTATGGCCAATGTCACAGTAATTACCACATGTGCTCTTTCCTATAATTCTTATGGTTTCAGGTCTCATATTTAGGTCATTAATCTATTTTGATTTTATTTTTGTGTGGTGTAAGAAAGCGGTCCAATTTTATTCATTTGCATGTAGCTGTCCAGTTTTCCTAACATTATTTGTTGAAAGGAATGTCTTTTTCCCATTGGATATTCTTTCCTGCTGTGTCAAAGATTAACTGATCATATAATTGTGAGTTAATACCTGGGTTTTCTATTCTGTTCTACAGATTTGTGTGTCTATTTTTGTAAGAGTGCCACAATGTTCTGATTACTACAACTCTGTAGTATAAGTTCAAGTCAGTGATTGTGATACTTCCAGCTTTGTTCTTCTTTTTAAAGATTGCTTTTGCTATTCAGTCTTTTGTGGATCCATACAAATTTTAGTAATATTTATTCTAGCTCTGTGAAAAATGTTATTAGTATTTTGATAGAGATTGCATTAAAATTGTAGGTTTCTTTCTGTAGTATAGACATTTTTAACAATATTTGTTCTTTGAATCCATGAGCATGGAATATCTTTTCACTTCTTTGTGTCATCCCTAATTTTTTTCATTGATGTTTAATAGTTTACAGAGTACAGGTCTTTCACCTCATTGGTTAAGTTTATTCTGAGGTATCTTATTATGTTTGGTGCAGTCATAAATGAGATTGTTCTCTTCAGATCACTGTTTCCATGCTGTATGTCCAGCATGTTTTTGCCTGTCTTCTCTCCAGGAGCAACCCCGATGCCTCTAGTGTCTCCCACAGCTAAGCATGCTGACCTTTAAAACTCTAGGCTTTAGGATCTGTTGGTTGCAGGAACTCACAAAATTCAGGCCCTTTCATTTTCCAAGCTAATTGCTATGTAGTTTCACTTTCCCTTTGTGCTCTCTTGTGACCTAGTCTGTCTTTCACCCTTCTCTGCAACCTTGGCTCCCTCTCTCCTACAGCAGCCATGATCCATTTCTTGCCAAAGTTACATCTCCACACTTCGGACATTCTTCAATGTGTCCTTTCTCTCTCTTTAGCTATTGAGTTTGTTCTGCTAGTCTTCAGATCTATTTCTGGGGTATTTAGGATGATTTGATAGTTATCTAGTTATATTTGTGGGATGATGTGAGGCTAGGGTCCTCCACTCTTCTGCCATCTTCTGCAATCTCAAAATTAAAATCTTTGTACTGCAAATGATACAAGAAAGTGAAGGCAAACTATACTGTGGGAGAACATGTTTGAAAATCGTGTATCTCATATAGGACTTGTGTCCAGAATATATAAAGAACATAATAATAATAAAACAACCAACCCAGATAAAATTGAGCAAGGCTTTAAATAAACACACCTTAGGGTGGTTGGGTGGCTCTGTCGGTTAAGCGTCCAGCTCTTAATTTCAGCTGAGGTCATGATCTCATGGTTTCATGGTCTCAGAGCCCTGGGTCGGACTCTGCACTGACAGTGTGGAGCCTACTTGGGATTCTCTCTCTCCCTCTCTCTCTGCCCCTCCCCTGCCCACCTTGTCGCTGTCTCTGTCAAAAGTAAATAAATAGACTTAAAGAAATTAAATAAACATATCCTTGGGGTGCCTAGGTGGCTCAGTCCGTTAAGTGTCTGACTCTTGGTTTCAGCTCAGGTCATAATCTCATGGTTTTGTGGGTTTGAGCCCCACATCAGGCTCTGTGTTGGCAGTGCAGAGCTTGCATAGGATTCTCTCTCTCTCCCTTTCTCTGTGCCCCTCCCCTACTCACACTGTCTCTATCTCTCTCAAATACATAAATAAAAACTTTAAAAAAACACACATCATAGAAGATATATAAATAGTCATAAGCCCAAGAAAGGTGCTGAACATTCTAGAAAAATGAAAATCAAAACCATCATGAGATACTACTTCACACATTAAAATCATCATAATGAAAAATATAGGCAACATGTGCTAGTGAGAATGTGGAGAAATTGAAATCTCCTTGGGGCTCTTTTTCCAGCACTGCTTCAACTCTGATATCTCCTTTCCATTCTCTACCCAGTAATCAACTCTCTAATTAGCATTAGGCTGATACATATATATTCTATATATGGAATATGTGTATACATTTCTTATCTTTCTTGCCAAGGACTCCTGAGAGGCTCCTAACATTTCTGCTGTCTGTAATCTAAAAGCATCTTTCTCACCAGTGCCCTTTTCAGATTTTAGCCATTTCCACTGTTGTGAATTCTTCCTCTGCCTCCTTCACTCATTGGGAATTCTGTACTTTGCTTTGAACTCTAGTTCTCTGAGTTGAAATCCGCAAGTTTTCTACAGGTAAAATTAAATTTTCCTTATACATCAATATTATGTTTTTCTTCTTTCAGATAAAGATTGCATTTCCTGTTGCCTTCCAGACATTTCCTGGAAGCCTTTTTTCCTGTTTTATAATTTTATTGTAAAAGGTTTTTTCTAGTAAATGAAAATATTTCTATTAAATGAAAATATTTCATCTTAACTAGAGAGAAGCCTTTTATTTTTCCTCAAAATAATGGATATTGTCCAATTAATCCAATAATGATTAGTCCAATTTCTTAAATTAGCCTGTGAAATAATTAGGTTGTTGAGAAGGAAGCTCCACTTCCAATATGATACAATTTTAACTTAAGGTGAATTGATGAAGAGTTGATCTTTTCTGATGGATAAGGCAAGAAGGAGAGCTTTGAAAGTGTTGAGTTCTACTATAGTTTAAGTCTGCTACATATTTGCTTACTTTCAATTTTTGTGCATATATTTTGCCAATTTATTTTCTGAAATACATAAAACATTCTGAGTCACTTTTTTGGGGGTATATTATTTATTAAAAACACATAGTTGGATTCTATCTGCATTTTAAATTTACTGATTTTTTGTGGGTTTTTTTGGGGGGGCATTAAGTTCATGTGTGTTAAACATCATCATAGTGGTTTGGTGGTAATTCTGATTCTTTTAGTTTGTTGTATTTTAGTTGTCTGTCTTATTTCTTTTGTTTAACTGAATCAAGATTTCATAGATTTTTTCCCCCCAACTTTCCGTGATGTCTTTGTAACACTTAGGGGAATGCCTATTTTCTAATTAATAGAGTCAAAATTAGAATAATATCACCTTATGCTGGTAACATGAAAATTTAACATAGCTTACTATATTGTTTTTTAAGAGTGATTGTATAAAGGGGTTAAAGTACACTTAATGAGCACTGAGTAATGTATAGAATTGCTGGAATGTTATATTGTACCCTTGAAAGTAATATAACATTGTATGTTGATTATATCTCAGTAAAAATAGAAAATTAAAATAAAATAAAAAGGGAGCAAAAAAATTTTTAAATATAAGTAAGCACCAGTTATGGCAATAATTTTTTTATTAAATCATTAAGAACATTTTAATGTTTATTTATTTTTGTGAGAGAGAGGGGGAGACAGAGCATTAGCAAGGGAGGGAGGGCAGAGAGAGAGGGAAACACAGAATCTGAAACAGCCTCCAGGCTCTGCCCTGTCAGTGCAAAGCCTGATGCAGGGCTCAAACTCACAAACCACGAGATCATGACCTGAGCTGAAGTCAAACGCTTAACTGACTGAGCCACCCAGGAGCCCCTTTATTAAATAATTTTTAACAGTTCTTTCTTTGTTACTCTAATTTTTAAATTAAAAATTTAGTAGAAATTAATATCAGTTTAATATGTTTTAAGTAGTAGTTCATAAAAGGGAATAGAATAGAAAAATATATTACAATATAACATAAAGGTTAAAAATACACATAAAGATTAAATACAAATTTATATTAATTAATATTAAGTTTATAAAAGTATATAATGCACTTTGGGGCATAGTCACAGAATATCGGAAACCATTTTTATTTTTTTAATATTTTAAAAATGTTTATATTTTTGGAAACATTTTGAAATGTATATTGTTTATGCTATCAATGTATTATTTGAAACCAAAATTTTTATAATTCAGATTAGTAATAAACTTTGAATATCATCTTTGAAAAAGTTAAAATGTGTTCTCATGTTTTCAGAGAAAGGTCAAAACATACCTGCAAAACGACATGCTGCTCCTCGAAAAAATGGCCTCTTCATCAGTTTCTACATTTTCCTACCTTTCCTTACTTTAATTGCCATCATTGCTCTTAAATGGAATAAAATAAGATTTTGGAACAGAGCGGAAACAGTAACTGGAGAGTAAGTAAACTTATATTTTTAAAAATCAATATTAAAATCCATTTGGGAAGAACTAAAATGTAATTCAGAATATTACAAGTAAGCCTTAAAAGTGCTGACTTTGGATCTTCTGGATGAATTTGATTTCTGTTTAGAAATATTGAACCTTGTTATATACCAATTTTTTTTCAGATTTCCAGTAGTTCCATTCCTTTTCTTTTAGGTCCCGAAATAACCAAAGCTACTTAGTAAATTCACAGTGCCTTTCAAATTGAAAGCCGTGTTTGCTACACATGCTTGTCTACTACCTAAGCAGCCTCTTTTTTTTTTTTTTTTTTTGGCATGGACATTCAGTTGTGCCAAGGAGATTAATAGAGATAGAGAAGGAAATTTTGTGAATCGAAGATGTAGAAGGTGAGAAAAATGTTTAAAAAACATGATAGGAAAAGGAGAATACAGATAGGACAATTCTCATTTTACATTTACTTAGTATTGCTCATATGTTTCTAAAATTAGAATTAAGGTACTTGAAATGGGCACCACAATAAATCTAGTTAATATCTGTCACTGTACATGGTTACAAAGTTTTATTTTCTTGTGATGAAGACTTAAGATCTTTTGTCTTAGTAAGTTTCAAATATGCAATATTTTATTATTAATTATATTCACCATGCTATACATTATATATTCATGATGTAATTATTTTATAACTGGAAGTTTGTACCTTTTGGCCCCCTTCACTCATTTACTTACTCCACAATGCCAACTGTGGTAATCACCAATATGTTCTCATTATCTATGGACTTGTTTTTTGTTTTTTTGTTTTTGTTTTTGTTTTTTTTTAATTTGATTCCACACACAAGTGAGATCATATGCTAGTTGCCTTTCTCTGTCTAAATTAATTCACTTATATGCAACTTTTTTCTTTCCCATATCACAAATACAAGTTACAAGTTTGCTCAATGGATGTTCAGGAAAAAGAATGTAGAAGTAAAGATAAATAAGTGGGTCTCATTGTTATAAGCTGAAGGAAAAATGTTTCTGTTTCTCACTCATGCCAATTAAGATAAAAATATAAAGCTTCCACCAAAAAAAAAACTCTTAAGAAATGGATTTATAGAAACATACCTCAATATAAAAAAAGACCATATATGAAAAGCCCACACCTAATATCATACTCAATGATGAAACTTTGAGAACTTTTCCTTTAGGCTTAAGAACAAGACAAGGACATCCACTCCTGCACTTTTGTCAACATAGTACTGGAAGTCTTAGCCAAGCAAATAGACAACAAAAATGTCTTAAATCCAAATTAGCAAGGAAAAAATAAAATTGTCACTATTTGCAGATGACAAGATACCATCAAAAGACTCAACCAAAAAACTGTTAGAACTAATAAATGAATTCGGCAAAGTTGAAGTATACAAAATTAATACACAGAAGTCAGTTGTGATTCTATATAATAATAATGAAGTAGCAGAAAGAGAAATTAAGGAAATAACTCCATATTCATTTGGAACAAAAAGAATAAGATATCTAGGAATAAACTTAACCAAAGAAGTGAAAGACCTTTACTCTGAAAACTACCAGACATTGATGAAAGAAATTGAAGATGACACAAATGGAAAAACACTTGATGCACATAGATTGGAAGAATTAGTATTGTTAAACTATTCTTACTACCCAAAGCTGACTACAGATGAAAAGTACAATCCCCATCAAATTACTGGTGGCATCTTTTACAGAACTAGAATAAATACTAAATTTTTTATAGGACCACCAAAGACTGCAAATAGTCAAAGCAATCTTGAGAAAGAAGAACAAAGCTAGAGGAATCACGATCCCAGATTTCAAGGTATAGTACAAAGCTATAATAATCAAAACAGTATGGTATTATCACAAAAAAAAAAGACATATCAATGGAACAAAATAAAGAGCACAGAAAAAAACCCATGATTATATGGACAATTAATCTGCAACAAAGGAGGCAAGAATATGCAATAAGAAAAAGACAGTCTCTTCAACAAATGGTTCTTGAGAAATTGGACAGCTACATGTAAAAGAATGAGACTGGACCATTTTCTTATATAATGCACAAAAAAATAAAATGGATTGAAGACCTAACCTTGAGACATGAAACATAAAAATCCTACAAGAAAACATAGGCAGTAATTTCTTTGAAATTGGTGGTAGCAACATTTTTCTAGATATGTCTCCTCAGACAAAGGAAATAAAAGCAAAAATAAACTATTGAGACTACACCAAAATAAGCTTATGCACAGTGACAGAAACCATTAAGAAAACAAAAAGGCAACTAATGAGTGGGAGAAGACATTTATACATGATATAGAAGTGATTAGATAATATCTAAAATACATAAAGAACTTATAAAATTGACCACCAAAAAACCCCACAAATAATCTGATTAAAATATGGGCAGAGGACCTGAATAGACATTTTTCCAAAGAAAATATACAGATAGCAAACAGACACATGAAAATATGCTCAACATCACTAATCATTAGGGAAATACAAATCAAAACCACAATGAGATATGACCTTACACCTGTAATAATGGCTAGAAAACACTCCCCACTCCCCCCAAAAAACCCAAGAAATAACAAGTGTTGGCAAGGATGTAGAGAAAGAAAGAAACAAGGAAACCTCAGGCACTCTTGTTGGGAAGTGCAGGGATCGTGGAAAAAAGTAAAATTTAAAAAATACCTAAATGTATTACACTAAATGAAATAAGTCAGACTGAGAAGACAAATGTCATGAGTCCACTTATGAATGGTAAAAATTATGAATAAACAAACAGAAAGCAGAAACCTATAAATACAAAGAACAAATTGATGCTTGCCAAGAGGGGAGTGGAGTTGAAGGGTTGAGGAAAAGGGGAAAAGGGAGAGGAAGATGTAGGCTTCTACTAATGGCATGAATAAGTCATGGTAATAAAACACACAGCCTAGAGAATATAGTCCCTGACATTGTAATAGTGCTGTAGTAGGACAGATGGTAGGTATACTTGCTGTAAATACAGCATAATGTATACACTTGTCAAATCACTAAGTTGTACACCTAGAATTAATGTAACCTTGTGTATCACCTATACTCCAAAAAGAGAGAAAAACATAAAATTACAATGGTTTCTAACCCTAAAGTAATGCTATTTTTTATAGATCTACATCAGAAGACAGCAATATTAAGAGCAACCAGTCATCTAGTTAAAGGTAAATTGAAGCAATAAAACTATTGAAAATGGCGTAATTCATAAAATAGTTTAAAAAATTTAACAATACCTCAGTGGAAAAAAGCTATTATTCCATATTCCATCATCTTAATTGCTATTTGTCAATATACTAAAAAACAGACTCAAAGCATTTGATAATTTTGTTTTATATTAATTTACAAATATTTAATGTTAACTAGTATTAGCCAGAGATTTATTAACCAGCATTTTGGTAATAAGAAATGACTTATTTAAATTTTTTTTTTAACATTTATTTATTGTTGAGAGACAGAGCATGAGCAGGAGAGGGGCAGAGAGAAGGAGACACAGAATTTGAAGCAGGCTCCAGGCTCTGAGCTGTCAGCACAGAGTCCGGTGCGGGACTCAAACTCACAAACCGAGAGATCATGACCTGAGCCGAAGTCGGATGCTTAACCGACTGAGCCACCCACCCAGGCACCCCTAAATATGTTTTTAAGACATTTAATAGCCGTCATGCATCCTGCTTCCACATTTAAGGTCCTAATTTGATATATTTACTCCCAATATTTATATTTCTTTGTCACTAAGGCTCCACAGTTATTGTTAACCTTAGTTTAGAAATGAGGAAACAAACATGAAAAATTTAAGAAAGTACCTTTGTGTACAGAATTTTAGTAAATTTTGAAGCTGGAGTTTCATTCAAGACAACCAGACTCCAGAGTTTAACTCTTAAAGAGCTCAACAATTTGGAGACATCTGGGTGGCCTTGTGTATTGTGTCCAACTCTTGGATCAGTTCAAGTCGTGATGTCATGGTCGTGAGATTGAGCCCTACCTCAGGCTCTGCTCTGGACATGGAGTCTGTTTGAGATATTCTCTCTCCTTCTCACTCTGCCTCTCCTTTGCCTGTGCATTCTTTCACTCTCAAAACAAACAAACAAACAAAACAAAAAACAACAAAAAAACCACACATACAGTTGTTGTTGTTTTTTTTTAAATATTTTTATTTATTTCTAGGAGAGAGAGAGAGACAGTGTGAGCAGGGGAGGGTCAGAGAGAGAGGGAGTCACAGACTGAAACAGGCTCCAGGCTCTGAGCTGGTAGTCAGCACAGAGCCCGACGCGGAGCTCGAACCCACGAACCGCGAGGTCATGACCCAAGCGAAAGTCGGACGCTTAACCGACTAAGCCACCCAGGCGCCCCTGCACACACAGTTTTGACCCATGTAGCATGAGGTATGCCTGGTGAAGGGAAATGAAATTTACATTTATTGAGGAACAATTAGATGCCAGGCAAAATGATAAATGCTCCATCCATCCAGAGTAGAGAGACAAATTCTTTACTATAAGATGTTGGCATTTGTATATATTCAATATACCTATCTGTATATTTCTGTGTATATGTATATATATATATATATATACATATACACATATATATACACACAAACACATTTGTATATATACAGATGTATCTGAACATATCTGATGTATCTGAATATATCTGTATATATTCAAATGTATAAGTCATATGCATAAAGAAATCATAATGTTTTACATATTAGACCTATCACTGGGAGTAAATGGAAAAATTAAAAAATTAACCATGAGTGAAAACAAGCGTTCATCCAATTACTAATCCACCATTCCTCCTTATCTGATTTTGATGGACAGTTAAGTCAATGGATCTCTGCTTCCCCATCTGCCACCGAGAAAAACAATTATAACTACTACCCTCCATGTAAAATAGTTTTATTTCTTAGTAGGGAATGTTGGTGGTGAGGGAGGAGCTGGGTAGTGGTTTTAAATATAACGGAATGAGTGGGCCCTATTCAGCAAGAGATATGTAAAGAAAATATTGGAGGAGTTGCAAGGATTGACTCAGTTTAGATATTAAAAAGAGGTATTTGAGTTCCCTGGGGTCAATTCACGTGGGGCTTTTATTTAAATGTAAAGGATACAATGCAGCTGGAGAGACTGCAGGCAAGCAATGGGCACCAGAGAGATATCTCATGCTCCAGCCTCAAGGTTCCTTACTTTAAATTTTAAGCAGCCCATTGTAAATTCCACTGCCAATGTCTCGTCAAAAAGTGAAACCAAGCACCCAGGCTTCCCATTCCAGCCTTAAATCAACTCCTTACAGAGGCGTAGAGCCAGCAGAGGTATCCATGCATATATCTAGGCAGAAGCTTCCCAAGCACGTGATGATCCAATGAAAAAATGAGTCAGGAAATATTTCATGAATAACAGTGATGTCAGTTTAGCTGGAGCAGTTAGCAAGGGGCTGCAGTAGTGAGTAGGTCAGAGAGTAAAACTCGTAGGCTGTGGGAGGTGTTGAGGTCTATCTGTGTTTTATTCTCAGTGAAAGGGGAAGTCACTGGAAGATTAATGTTCAAGACTTCTACTTTAAATGGCTAGTTTGTTAAAAAAAAAAAAAAAAAAAAAAGAAGAAGCCTGGCTTGTTGAAAACAGTTTGTGTGATGGCGAGAGGAGAAGTAGAGAATTGGTGGATAAACTAATGCAATAATCTAGGAGGGAAAGGGTGGCACCTCAGATCAAGGGTAGTAAAGATGATCTTAGGAATAAATTTTGAAGGAGACCAACAGAATAAACTGACAGTTTCAATATAAAGTGTAAGAAAAAATATGCTTAAATAATGTTTACTGATAAAGCAACAAGATAAGCAAGGTTAAATGTAAATACAGACGTGTTTTCAAATTTCTGCTCTTAATGCCTGTTAAATTTTATATTAAAATGTATGAACATTGCAAGAGAAAATCTACATGGTTAATTGGGAACCAAGACAAATGTCTGCTATGCCATGATAAGGAGCTTGTTTTCTCACACATGGGAAAGTATTTCTCATATAGTTAAAGGATTGTTGAAGTAGTAAGGGAGGGATTCAGCATGATCTGGTTTGCTTTTTTCCATATTTAGGGAAAAAGTCAGACTCAGTAAGAACTGGAGGCTAGTGAAACAGCCCATGTGTATGTACATGAGACACCTGTTGGAAAAACAGAGGGCTTCTTGAAATACTCTTGCTCTGAAGATAAAAGTAGACTAGTAGTTATTTATTTCTTCACATATTCTACTGTTCTTTTCCTCTCTCTTTCCTTGCTGGTAATTTTCTTTAATCCATGTAAAGTGTAGAAACTGTGTGAATAAAATGCTTGTGAATATCACTTTTAATATTTCCCTTTACTCTGGCTATCACAGACAATTTAGGAAAAAGAAACTTGGGCTTTCAAAGTCCGTGAGGCACAGGCCTGGCTTGTGGTATTATAACCAGTGTCCTATATAGCAAGGATTTGCTATACCTCTAGTTGCCTAGTAAAATGAGATCACTTTCATTAACAATGCAAGTTTAGTATTTCCCTTTTTCTATATATTTTTTAAACAGTGACTAAACAATGTCAAAAAGCCATAGGTTGGAGAAAGGATATTACGAAGACATTCACCATTAATTGAGCTGACTCAAGAATGAAAAAAAAAATCTATTCCCTCTTTCTGTATGGCTTAGAGCTTTCAACTTCACAAACAAAAATAAATCCTGAAAGTGAAAGTATGTAGGCTTGTGTCTATTGATTCTTCTACGTGCTATGATCCTTTCTGGGGAAATAAAGCAACTTTTGAACCAGAGAAGCTGTCACATCCTCTGATGTAAACACTCCGTGTACACTGAGGACACCCACAGTCCACACCTCTCCCAACTGCCCATGATTCCCTGCCCTATCCCTTCCTGGCTTTGGGATATTGAGAAGAAATATTGCTAGGTAAGGCCAGCCACAGAACCCCAAGATAGTCACTAACATCTATTCTATCTTCAGGGAATTGCTCCAACTGTGTTCCTGGTCATAGATAACTATTGTGTCTCCAGGTGATAATTCTGTGACCTCATGTAAATTGAGATCTAGAATATATCATTGTCCTTTGGGGAACTCAGACGTGCTCCTCCTCCACTGGAGCTGAGCTTTTCTGGGTAAGATTTTCTTGCTTTAGGGTCCCCCAACTCATCTCCCTCTTACTAAGATGAATGGACTTCTGCATACCTCTAGGCATTGTACATGGATAAGGGAGCCATCAACCTAGCAGGGATCTAATGAGAGCCTAAAGAGTCTCTCTCTCTCTCTCTCTCTCTCTCTTTTTAACATTTTTAATGTTTTATTTATTTCTGAGACAGAGACAGCATGAGCAGAGGAGGGTCAGAGAGAGAGGGAGACACAGAATCTGAAACAGGCTCCAGGCTCTGAGCTAGCTGTCAGCACAGAGCCTGATGTGGGGCTCGAACCCACGAACTGTGAGATCATGATCTGAGCCAAAGTCGGACACCCAACCAGCTGAGCCACCCAGGCGCCCCGAGAGTCTCTCAATAAACAAGGATGCTCCTGATTCAGGGGTGGGAGTACCTTGCCACAGAGGCCAAGAGATTTCTTTTCCAAATGTCCATCAACCAATGAATAGATAAACATTGTATAAATAGTGATCTATGCATGCAATGGAATATTATTCAGCCATAAAAAAGAACAAAACACTGATAACCTCTACTATTATAGAATCCGGTCTGGGTCACCTGGTGGAAAAACCAAGCAGCACTCAGAGATCTTGGAAGGGAGGAGGTTTATTTTCTACCGGTGGGCTCAGAGGAGATCATTCTCTGGAGGTCTGAGCCCAGAGCATTAGCAGAGGGAATAATTTATAGCCTGGTACTTCCACATTCCTCATTAATCAGGGACAGATGTTTTCTTATTAATCCTGTCAGCCATCTTACAACAGATTTTCCCTACCACTACATGAACAAACCTTTGAAACCATTCTGCTGAGTAAGTAAAACTAATCACAAAACCCACGTGTTACTCATTTGTATGAAATATCCAGAATAGGGACACCTATAGAGACAAAAACTCGTGGCTATTTTGGGCTTTTGGGCTGGGTTGTTTAAGTGGGGGATGAAAAGCTGGGGTGAGGGGAGGTAATAGCTAAAGGGTACAGGGTTCCTTTTGAGATGATGAAACTAAAATAGACTGTGGTGATGGCTACATATTCACATCTGTGAATATATGGAAAGTCCTAAGATTATTCAGTTGTATAATTTAGTGGGTCACTTGTGTGGTAAAAAAAAAAATACATATCAGGATGATTCTACCAAACTTTACCTCATCCTTATTGCCACTAACTTATTTTAGGTCATTATAATCCTGGCCTGCCTTATTTTAATTATTTCTGAGGACCCCAGGTATAGTACCACTTAGCAGATCCAAGTGTTAAGCCTGACTGGAATTTAACTTTGCAACTCTTGACATAATTCATCCTTGTAATAAGGTGTACTGGGGTAAAATAAGGTGTAGGTGAGAGGCGGGTAGAGGTTGAGTTGGGTCTTGGACATGTGTGATTTAAGATTTCTCTTAGACCGGGCTCCTGGGTGGCTTAGTCGGTTAAGCATCCGACTTTCGCTTAGGTCATGATCTCGCGGTTCGTGGGTTCGGGCCCCGTGATGGGCTCTGTGCTGACTGCCAGCTCAGAGCCTGGAGCATGTTTCAATCTGTGACTCCCTCTCTCTCTGACCTCCCCTGCTCGCGCTGTCTCTCTCTCTCTCTCTCCTAGAAATAAATAAAACATTTATTAAAAAAAAGATTTCTTTTAGAATATTTAGAGACAATTGCATGCTCTTGTCTGGCTGGGACACAGTTTTTGCTTGGCTTGCTGCCTCCCCACCTCTACAGTTTCCCTGCTAGTGCCTAAAAATAACTATTAACAAAACACTTGGGTTGTAGTTGTAATAATAGGTATACGGTTGATGAAACGTGCTTTTTGATTGCCTTATCCAAAATAAAATACAATACTCTTGATTTTTCCTTATTTGCAAAGATACTAAAGTCAGCAGCAACACAATTTAGGTAGAAAATTTCTCATAAAAATGGGGTTTCTCCTCTTTTCTCCACCAGAGCAAATAAAAAATGCGAGAAAGATATATATGTCATGCAGAAAAGTAATTACCAAGAACTTCAACAGAAAAGCAAATCATACTCATGTGCCCCTTTGTCACTACTGATGCCAGAACAAACCAATTGTGTGCAAAGGCACAAGCTTGTGTCTGCTGTCTTCTCTCCCTTCACCTGTGGCAGCTGGCCAGCCTTTTGGGAGCCCTAAGGTTGGACCTAAGGTTTGGGAGCTGAAAGCAGTGCAGTCTTTACTCACACAGACAAGGACAGTGTGGTGGGCTCCTGAGTACTCATAACCACAAACCTCAGAGCTGCCCAAGGGCCCTCAGCCCTGACCACGCTGGATGCACTCTGGCCCAGCCTACTTCTTTCTCTTTGCACTGCTCTGTGAGCTTGAAGCACTTCACACCTACCTGGGTAAGACGGCTGGTCCCTCAGTCTCCTTCTTTTGTCTCCAGGAAGGATCAGGCTCTTCCTGGAGAGCGATTTCCTGTAACTGCATGATACCTTCCTCTCCCCTCCTAAATCTTCTGCTGGTTCCTTCCTCTGTGTGTCCCCAACCCCAAGGTCAGGGATGGGGATGTTAGCCAAGGTATCTACTCTTTGAATCAAGGGTCAAGTTGTCTGAAGATTGCTGGAAAGATGGCAGAGTGGGATGACTCTAGCCTCACCTTATCCTACAGACACAACTAGATATTACTAACATCAGTGTGAATAAGTCAGAAATAACTCCACTAAGATGTACAGAACCAACTTCACAACTAAATGAAGAAGAGAGACCACATCGAAGAGTGTAGATGTTGTGGGGAGCTAAAAGGACCCACAGGACTCTCAGTGGGAGGTAGACATGGAGAGAAGAGAGAAGCAGACACTCACACTGGGGGGCCCTCATGAACAAGATGAATCCCCATAACATTTGGCTTTGAATCCAGAGAGGCTGATTCGCATTAGTTCTTACAACCAGTAGGACTTAAAACCTGGAGTTTTAAAAATCATCAAGCTCAACTCTGGGAGAGCGAGATCTCTATTACTGTATTGTCACTTGTACTATAATTTTACATCAATAGCCATATCCCGTATGCACCATATGGTGTTTCATTCTGAATACTGTTTCTGAGCTTCATGCATGTTATATGTTTGTTAGTGTTTTATTCTTTTTATTGTGAGTAATATACCCCTATTTAAAATACCAAAATTTCTTTATCTACTCAACTAATGGATATCAGGGTATTTTTTCCCAGTTTCTTTCTACTATCACTAATGTTACTGTAAAAATTTATGCAGAAGTCTGTTTTGGACATACATAATTTCTTTGGGGGTAAATACCTAGAAGTGGTTTGTTTGGGTCTTATTATAGTAGTAGGAATATTTTTTTTTTAAATGTTTTTATTTCTGAGAAAGAGAGAGACAGTGTGAGCAGGGGTGGGTCGGAGAGAAAGGGAGACACAGAATCTGAAGCAGGCTCCAGGCTCTGAGCTGTCAGCACAGAGCCTGACGCGGGGCTCTAACCCATGAACCGTGAGATCATGACCTGAGCCGAAGTCGGACGCTCAACTGACTGAGCCACCCAGGCGCCCCTATAGTAGGAATATTCTTACCTTTACTCATTTACTGACATGTTTTCCAAAATATTTGTATAATTTCATATGCCTGAAAGCAATGCATGAGAGTTCCTGTTGCTCCAAATTTTGGCCAATATTTAATAATGTAGGTCTTTGTAACTTTAGCTATTGTGATGGATAGTAGTAGTGATTTAAATGTAATTGTGAGTTAAAGTTTCTCTGAAGATAATCATTGTCTTTTTATGTGCTTATTAAACATCTGTGTCATTTGCTTACCCACTTTCATAAAATATTGACTAACATAGTTTGCCTATTTTTTTAATATTGATATGTATATTTTATCATATATACACATTTTCTGTTTTTTTCCATTCTATGGTTTAAATTGTTTTAAATGTTTTATTTCTGAGAGAGAGAGAGAGAGAGAAGCGTGAGTAGGGGAGGGTCAGAGAGGGAGGGAGATACAGAATCTGAAACAGGCTCCAGGCTCTGAGCTAGTTGTCAGCACAGAGCCTCACACGGGGCTCAAACCCACGAACCGTGAGATAATGACCTGAGCCGAAGTTGGACACTTAACCGACTGAGCCACCCAGGCACCCCAGCCATTCTATGGTTTAATTTTTTACTTTCTTAACAGTGCTTTCAAAATTCAGATTTTGTTAATTTCAATGAAGTCCAACTTATCTTTTGTTTTTCTTTTCTGGTTGGCAACTTTTGGACTCACCTAAAAAATTCTATACCTATGTTCATGAAGACTTTCCCTATATTTTCTTATGGAAGTTTTATGCTTTTAGCAATTATGTTTGACTTAATAATCCATTTCAAATTAGCATTTGTATATGGCATGATGAAGGGTTTAGGGTTTCTGTTCAAATAGTAACAGTGTAGTTTTCCTAGAACCATTTGTTGACATGATAGTGTGCTTTACAAATGGAATCAATCTGTTTCATTTGCTACAAATAAATCCAATGTGTGTGTGTGTGTGTGTGTGTGTGTGTGTGTGTGTGTATTTATGTACCAATACATATAAACCCATAGAGGAAGGGTGAGGGAGACGAAAAGATAATCTGCTTATGTAATCTGTATTCTGTTCCACTGATCTGTGTCTCTTTGAAGTCATTAACACACCAGCTCAATTAATGCAGCTTTATAGTAGAGTCATACTGCAGATTGAGTTCCAGACCACTGGGAATATACTGCAAATATTGCAATAAAGCGAATAAATACATTTTTTGGTTTTCCAGTACATATAAAAGTTATGTTTACCCTATACCGCACAAGCCTATTAAGTGTGTGATATCATTATATCCCCAAAAGCAATGTACATATCTTAATGAAAAAATACTTCATTGCTAAAAAATGTTAGCTATTATCTTGGCTTTCCTTAGTGGTAATCACTGGTGACAGATCACCACAACAAATATAATGAGAAAGCTTGACACATTGCAAGAATTACCAAAATGTGACACAGAGACATGAAGAGGATAAATGCTTTGGAAAAAGTCATGCCTATCGAATAGCTCAATGAGGGATGCCACAAGTCTTCAATCTGTTAAAAAATAAAAAGTATCTGTGAAATGCAATAAGACAAAGTGCAATAAAATGTAGTATAACTGTATGTCTTTTATTCTTTAAAAATTGTTTTGGCTTTTTAGGTTCTTTTCATTGCCATAAAACTTTTATAATTGCTTGATAAATTCTAACACATGCATTCACATGCACACTCCTACAAGCTTAATGGGATTTTTATTGCAATGGCTCTGGATTTTTAGATCAATTTTGTGAAGGTATGCTAAAGATACCTAATTAAATTGGTATGAGGAAGCCATGAAGGGAGGGTTCTCATTCACAAAGCATTCATCACAGCTTACATCGTCCTGCAGTAAGAAAGAAGATTTCCTCTTGGTCTGGCAAGAGCAGGCTGCCCTTGCCTTCAGCCAATGAGAAGTCACCACCACTTCATTGGGAGGCGGGGGAGGGGGTGTGGTAGGAACCCCTCCCTAAGGAGAAAGAAAAAATTGAAGAAGAGAGAAGAGAAGACTTCTAAGTCACCTAGATATGAGTCCAGCTGCCTACATCCCCCATGTTCTTGTAAACTGAAACAACTTAATCAGACTACATGTTTATGTGTATTACCATATATGGGAGACAAAGAAATAGAAAATGCATAAAAAACCCTATGCCATGTGATGTGGGCCGCTCAGTTCTTTTGGGTACGAACCCAACTGAGCGGTGCCGGCAAAATAAAGTTGCTTCCTGGAAAGAAAAGTCTCAGTGTCACGACTCTCTGAGCGAGAATCCTGCAACAGGGGCAGCTGAATTAATTAACTTTCTCTTTTAAAAACAAATTACATGAGGGGCACCTGGGTGGCTCAGTCTGTTAAGTGTCCGACTTCAGCTCAGGTCATGATCTCATGGTTTGTGGGTTCGAGCCCCACATCGGGCCTGTGCTGACAGCTCAGAGCCTGGAGCCTGCTTCAGATTCTGTGTCTCCCCCTCTCTCTGACCCTCCCCTACTTGTGCTCTGTCTCTCTCTGTCTCTCAAAAATAAATGAACATTAAAAAAATTAAAAATTTAAAAAAATAAAAACAAATTACATTTGCAGTCAGAAGTGGAATGCAAAGAAGCTGTACCTCTGAGGAGGTAATGTACACAGCTGAACTCCTTGTGTTTTCCACTTCTGTGAGTAGTCTTCTTCCTTTTGGTTTGGAAAGCATCTTCTTGGATTTGAGATCTCTCCTTTTGTTTAAGCTTCTAAATGTTATTCAGAAGCTGTTTATCTGAGGGCATTGTCCTTTTGGTGATTACTTAATTGCTTTCTGAACTCTTGTTTATGAAGTATGGGATCCCAATCCTCTAAATTCTCTCAGGAGTGTCCTTTTTCTGAGATCCCAGCCATTTTAATGTTAAAAAAAAAAAAAACTGGTCTGGAGGAGGAAGATGGAGGTAGAGTAAGAGGACTCTAAGCTTGTCTCCTAGGAACACAACTAGATAATTATCAAATCTGCCAAAAATGCCCCACAAATTGACCTGAAGCCTGACAGAAGAAACCCTACAACTAAAGGGAGAGAACCGGCCACACTGAAGAAGGTGGGAAGCATGGAGACGTGGTTTAGAGGAGAACGGATCCCAGGGGCTGCAGAAGGGAGGGAACCAGGGTTGCAGAAAAGGGTGACAGAAAGGCTCACACAGGGGAGCTTACGAGGAGAAGGTCAACCCACAGCCACCGGCTTGGAATATGAGAGGGGTTACATTTTGTGAATTCTTGCAAGCAATAGAGATTAATGCTTGCCTTGAAGGTCAGTGAATGCTAGGATAAGGCCTAGAAGGTACTTCCCAGCTTCTGAAGAGAAGGCAGGCAAACAACCTGGGGGCAAACAGCATGGAAAGGAGGGTTTGAAGACCGCCTGGGGCGCACAGTGTGGAGACCATTCACTCTTCTTGGTGTGCTTCCCCTGAAGGCGGTGTTTATGGAGATGCCTTTCTGGGGACAAAGGAGCTGGATGGAAACATCCAGCCTCCACCTTATCTCTAGCATTATCACAAAGCCACCTGTGGGAAGCAGCACAGTGCCAACACTGGGTACCTAACTTGCATACCCAATCCCCACACCCCTTCATTCTGGTGGGACTACAATTTTTGGTTAAACTCTCCCCAGTCCTGGTATGACAGGAACCTCCTGCAGAATACCAGCACAAACAACTACCCACACCATGTCTCTTGAACAAAGAGTTCTGTATGGCTTCCACCTGGTGGAAGTGATGTTAGGTCTCATTTCACAAGCAGACCAGAGCACACGTAGTTAAAACTTGACATATTCAGGCCAGAGACCAGTACTGCCCCCAGCAGGCAAGGAGAGCCTCTGCAGATAATTGGCCTAAAGGATAGAGCGGCCAAAACACAGCAGCAGGGTCAATACCAGAAACACTCCCTGAAGTGCCATGCCCTTGGGCACTACATGACCTCCTTGGCCTAAGGCCATTACTTTTAGAAGCAGAGGACATAACTGGCTTTTCTAACAGAAGAAAGCAGAGATTTGAAAAAATGCTAAGATGAAGGACTTTATCCCAAATGAAAAAAAAACAAGATAAGGCCATGGCCAGAGATCTAAGAAAAACAGATATAAGTAGCATGACTGGTGGAGAATTTAAAGCAGCTACTCACTGGGCTTGAGAAAAAAAAAAAAAAAGACATCATGAGACCCTTACCACAGATATAAAATACTTAAAAAATAATTAACCAGAGATGAAGAGTGAAAAAAATACTAAAGCAACAAGACATAAGAAATCTTAATTCACAAAGAAGACACATAAGGTTAGCTAGAGATCTCTCCACAGAAACTGGGCAAGCCAGAAGAGAGTAGCATGATATATTCAGAGTGCTGGATGGGAAAAAATCTGCAGCCAAGAATACTATATCAAGCAAGGCGATGATTCAGAATGGAAGGGAAGATAAAGTTTCCCACACAAACAAAAAGGAAAGGAGTTCATGACCATAAACGAGCACACAAAAAATTCTAAGGTGACTCTTTGAGTGCAAATGAGAGACCAAAAGTGACAAAAGACAAGAAAGGAACAGAGAAATCTCCAGAAATGACAATAAAACAAGTAATAAAATGGCACCATTATACGTATCCATCAATAATTATTTTGAATGTAAATGGATTAAATGCTCCAATTATTAGACATAGGGTGTCACAATGGATACAAAACACAAGACTCATCTATATGCTGCCTACAAGAAACTCACTTTAGGCCTAAAGACACGTGCAGATTGAAAGTGAGGGGATGGAGAAACATCGAATACACACATTGATGTCAAAAGAAAGCCAGAATAACATTACTTACATCAGACAAACTAGACTTTAAAACAAAGAGGGTAGCAAGAGACAAAGAAGGGCACTTTATCATAATAAAGGGGACAATCCAACAAGATATAATAATTGTAAATATTTATGCAGTCAACATGAGAGCACCCAAATATATAAAACAATAGCAAAAAGAAAGGAATTCATTGATAATAATATAATAATAGTGGGGGGAATTAACACCCTATTTATATTAATGAACAGATCATCTAAACAGAAAATTTAAAAAAATGGCTTTAAATGGCACACTGGAACAGATGGACTTAACAGAGATATTCAGAACATTCTATCTTAAAACAACAGAATACCCATTCTTTACAAGGGCACATGGAATATTCTCCAGAGCAGATCTCATTATTAGGTCACAAATCAGGCCTCAACAAATAAAAAAAGATTGAAACCATACCATGATTCTTTTCTGACCATGACACTATGTAACTAGAAGTCAATCACCAATTTTCCAAAAAAATTTGTAAAGACCACAAATACACAGAGGTTAAACAACATGCTACAAACAATGAATGGGTCAATGAAGAAATCAAAGCAGAAAGTTAAAAAATACATGGAAACAAGTGAAAATGAAAGTGCAATGGTCCAAAAACCTTTGGGAAGCAGCAAAAGCAGTTCTAAGAAGGAAGTATATGGCAATACAGGCCTACCTCACTCAAGGAGCAAGAAGAATCAAATAAACAACCTACCCTTATACCTAAAGAAGTTAGGAAAAGAACAAATGAGCCCTAAAGCCATCAAAAAAAAAATGATATAGAAACTAAAAGCCAATAGAACAGATCAATGAAACCAGGAGCTGGTTCTTAGAAAAAATTAATAAAATTAATAAACTTCTAGCCAGCTTTATCAAAAAGAAAAAAAAAGGAACCAAATAAATAAAATTACAAGTGAGAAAGGAAAAATAACAACCAGTGCCACAGAAATATGATCATAAGGGAATACTATGAAAAACTTATGCCAACAAACTGGACAACTTGGAGGAAATGGAAACATATAAACTACCCGAACTGAAACAGGAAGAAGTAGAAAACTTGAACAGACCAATAACCAGCAAAGAAATTGATTCAGTAATCAAAAAACTCCCAAGAAATAAAAGCCCAGGGCCAGATGGCTTCACAGATCAATTCTACCAAATACTGAAAGAAGGGCTAATACCTATTCTCAAACTATTCAAAAAACAAAAGAAAAGAAAAAAAAAGGGAAAACTTCTAAATTCATTCTATGAGGCCAGCATTACCCTGATGCCAAAACTAGATAAAGACTCCACTAAAAAACAAAACTCTGAAGGACATGGATGCAAAACTTCTCAATAAAATACTAGCAAATTGAATGTAACAGTACGCTAAAAAAAAAATCATTCATCACGATCAAGTGGGATGTATTCATGGGTTGCAAAGGTGGTTCAAAATTTGAAAATCAACCAACATGAGCTCGTGGTTTGGCTCCGGGGCAAGATGGCGGAGAAGTAAGGAGCTCCGTACTTGCACTCGCGCCCATACATCACACAGAAAAGATCTGAAGCCATTGGAAACCTTACAAAACCTGAGAGATTGGGAGAAAAAAAGATGCAGAATCCACTGAGA